TGGCCCCGGTCAGGGTGAATGTGGGAGGCAACCAATCAATGTGTCTCTTTCATATTGATGTTTTCTCTCTCTTTCCCACTCTATTTCTCTCCCCCTCCTCGCCTCCCTCCCTTCTACTCTCTCTAAAAATCAATGGGAAATTATCCTCAGGTAAGGATTTTTTTTAACGTGTATGTCTTATCTATTTTTTTAAATGTAGATCCCTTAAGAATTCAAACCTTTACCTAATAATTTGAGTCTCAAAATGAATTTGAAAATAATGAATATGATTTCTCTGTACATACTCTTTTAGAATGATTTCTTTCTTCTATTCCTGGTCTTATTACAGTTCCTACTTCTTTAAATTAAATACATTCTATCTCCAAAGATCTAATATTCTAAGATAACTTTATCCTAAAATCTAAACGTCTGAATGTTTCAGAAAACATTCATTTTTCCATATCTTCCATTCTGAACTCTGCTTAGTCATCTTTAGCGGGAATCTATACATATAAAAGGCTAAGTGACCAACCATTCACCTGTCCGACCGACCGATACATATGACGTGCAATGACAATTTAAAAATAAACACTGACTCGTGCATGTGCGATATATATAAGTCTGTCGCTGTTGCCAATTACGTACATGTTTTAATTTTATAATACTCTAAAAGCCCGGCACACAAAATTCATGCATGGGTATGGTCTCTAGGCCTGGTCTGCAATAAGAGCCATCTTCCCTAGCTGCCCATAGGCAGCCCCAACCCCTGCTGCCACCACCCCCCAGGGCCCCATTTTCCATTGGGTGATGGGAGCCTGCTGGCTTGGGGGAGTAACCAAGAGTTCAGCCATTCCCGCCTGCTGGCTGGACCTGGCCCTGCTGCGGGTTCCCCTCTATGTGTCAAGCAACTGGTGGGGTGGGGGCCTTGGCCTGGCACCACCTGCATCCCCCATCATCCACCCCTGGTTCCGTTTGCCATCAGGCAATAGGAGCCTGCTGGCTAAGAAAAGGGACCAAGAGGTAGTCAGTGTGCCTCACAGTGACTGGTTGAACGGTTGTTCTGGTCATTCTGCCATTAGGGTCAATTTGCATATTCCCTTTTTACTATATAGGATGTTATATATACTATTTTGACATGTAATTTTTTGCAGTAATGTAATAACCATATGAATCTTTTTTCTAATTTCCTTTCCATGTGCACGAATTTGTGCAATGGGCCACTAGTCCTATCTAATAATAGACAAACATGGTAATTAACCGTACCTCCAACACTCTTCCCATTGGCTAATCAGGGAGATATGCAAATTAACTGCCAACCAAGATGGCGGCCAGCAGCCACGCAGCTGAAGCAAACATGAGGCTTGGTTGCCCCGGCGATAGAGGAAGCCAAGGTTCCCCGCCTGCTGTGGCCCAGCTCTGAGCTCCGGATGCAACAATGTTGCAAATATAGATGCTAAACAAACTGCAAGATACCTGCTTTCAGCCAGCTGGCCTCGGAGCTGGAGCCGCAACACAGTTTTATTTGTTACAGAAGTTAAATAAATCCCAGAATTTTTTTAAAAAAAGAAAGAACGAGAGACTAGGAGCTTCAGTTGCAGGCTTGGCCTGCCTGAAAACACACTCAGCCTCTCATCCAGGCTGGCCAGGCACTCAAGCAGGGCCTCCACCCTGATCTGGGACCCCCTACAGGGCAAATCAGCTGGCCCCCACCCATGCGCCAGGCCTCTATTCTATATAGTAAAAGGGTAATATGCAAACTGACCCTAACAGTAGAAAGACTGGGAATGACTGGTCACTATGACTCACATTGACCACCAGGGGGCAGACGCTCAATACAGGAGCTGCCCTCTGGTGGTCAGTGAGCTCCCACATGGAGGAGCTCTGCTCAGCCACAAACCAGGCTGATGGCTGCCAGTCCAGCGGTGGTGGTGGGAGCCTCTCCCGCCCACTCAGGAGCGTGATGGATTTCCGACTGCAGCTTAGGTCTGCTCCCCACTGGCAAGTGGACATCCCCCGAGGGCTGCCGGGCTGCCAGAGGAATGTCTGATTGCCAGCTTAGGCCCAATCCCCAGGGGAGCAGGTCTCAGCCAGCAGATGGTCATCCCCTGAGGGGTCCCAGACTGTGAGAGGGCAGAGGTCGGGCTGAGGGACCCCCGCCTTCCCGAGTGCACAAATTTTTGTGCACCGGGGTTCTAGTCTATACTAATAATAGAGGAATATGCAAATTGTCTAAGATGCTGTCACATAACAACCAATCAGGACGGGGGCGGGGACAGGGGTAGGGCTGCAGCGGAGAGTTCTCAGCAGGCCTGCGCTGGGTGGCCGAAGGGCATGGAGAGGAAGGGAGAGCAGATAGGCAGTTAGGGTGATCCGACCAGGAGGGGAGAGCAGATAGGCAATTAGGGGGATCAGGCCAGGAGGGAGAGCAGTTAGGGGATCAGGCCAGGAGGGGAAAGCAGTTAGGCAGTTAGGGGAATCAGGCCAGGAGGGGAGAGCAGTTAGGGCCATCAGGCTGGCAGGCAGGTGAGCGGTTAGGAGCCAGTGGTTCAGGATTGTGAGAGGGATCCCCAGATTGGAGAGGGTGCAGGGCAAGCTAAGGTACCCCTTCCCCCCAATGCACAAATTTCGTGCACTAGGAATCTAGTATATAATTATATACATAACTAGAGGCCCGGTGCACAAAATTCATGCATGGGAGGGATCCTCTCAACCCAGCCTGCACCCTCCCCAATCCGAGACCCCTTCGGGGATGTCTGACTGCCGTTTTGGGCCCAA